ATAGGCACGTGCTTAGGGCCCACACTTTCTGGAGGGCCTCAAAAATTAGTCAAAAATCCACAATATTACTTTAAAAAAATACTGAAAGAAACAGTTTATCTCAAAAAGGGCATTTTTTATTTCAAATTTTCTTTATATTGTGATAAATCAAACTCGTGTAATCATTGCACTAATCAAATTCAAAAGTACAGCTAAATTTTAATCGGTGCAATTTTTTCTCCAACGGCTTGCAATGCAAATGCAACGAGAATGCATATTCGCAAAGTTTCTTACAAATGATTATTGTCAACAAGAACTGAAAACCTATTTGTAACAAATATGTTAAGCTGTAGATGGAAGGCTACAATCTTTAAAATAATTCAGCTAATCAGTGACTTTTAGCAAAAATCACTGATTTCAATTGTTTGTGGTCACCAAACATTTTTTATTTTCATACAACACTATTTTGTTGTTTTATATTTTACTTTAATATTTAGATGTGTAAACTTTATCTTAGAAAAATAATCTTCAATTGTCTGCTTTCAAAATTTTTAGAATGCTTCTCTTGAATCATGCAGTTCAATAGATTCTTTTTATTGTTAGGACTACTCTTCAGAAATTTAACTTCAAAGTATTTCGTTAGGGGCCCGGAAGATTTTGTGGGCCTTGGGCCTGAATTTGTCTTGATCGGTCTCTGACTACAGAAAAAGCATTGAAGGACTTTGTTTACATAACTGTGGGTAACTGTTATTATGTAAACAAGCAAAGGTTTACGTGGGCTCAAGAAGAGAGCCCAATCCTTGGAAACCATTTTCTCATGTGCTTTCGTAAATTTCAACATTTCTCATTGAATCAAATTGTAATTATGTACAAAGAATTTATATATTCGGTTACTTAATAAACACCTTAGTTCAAGTTTGTGGCCAATTCTTTTCAGTAGGTTAAATATTAAAGATCTCACCCACCTTTCCAGCAAAAAAAAAAAAAAAAAAATTCTTAGATATTAAAAAAATTTATTTTAAAAAATAAGTTAAATGAATTTAATCTTATAAATCTATCTTAAAAATATTTCAACACAATATCAATCGAAAAATAATGGTTCTATAAAGGGTTGAAATGACGCTCCTCGTTTCGAATGGACGTTATAAATTAAATACTTATAGAATGGCGAGATTTCGCATTTTTACTTTAGCTTCCGTGCACTCCCATCCGTAACATTGAAGCAATTGCGCATGTTTGCTGGTGTTTATTTTAAATGCTACGTATCTTTAGGTTATGTTGACGTGATTTTCTCTACAAGGACATAGGAACAAGCCCGCTGTTTATCTATTAAATATTGTTTTGTGTTTAAGCCTATCTTCGAACTAAAAACTTGAACGTGGAAAAGCAAATTCGAAGAAATGTCTTGACGAAATTTAAAAATGAATCGCGTGATCTTACAACCATTGGTCCCCAACCATCTCGCGGCAACCAATGCACTGTTCTGGAACTACGAACAATGATTGAGATAATGGCAATTAACGGTACGACAATGAGATAACATGCACAAAGTCATAAGATATTTCTCAGACGATTCAAATTAAATGATAATAATCACTAAAGTTTTACATTTTCTTTTCGCAGGCCCGCCTATAAAGAATTTGTCGCCAACAATGGGAAAACAAGAGTAGAATTTTAAATGAATTGTCTACATTAAAAGGAAAAAGATATTATTATAATGAATGACAACATTTTCTCAGCTTTCTTGTCTCTAAATTTTAAATTAATTGTCTTTTCGATAAGACTTTATCACGTCGTCTAGAACATATATATACAACAAATTTAAACTTCCTTTTAAGACAATTGAATTTAATTGATAGTCACGCTCCACTTCCAGAATAAGTCAAATTCAATTCTCTTCGTGGTGGCCACTACGTGGGTAAAAAGAAAATTGTAGGAAATAAAAACTTTTACATTTTAACAGTATGAAAAATTTTATCATTTTATAGAATACATATTCTAAATACAACATAAGGAGGAAAATTGTGTAATTTTGATCAATATATCAATCTCTTTCGATTTTGTTCTCAGATTTTTCGAACTGGTTAACGAATTCTTTGCTTGATATATTTTTTTTTTAAATCTCGGTTTAATAACGTTGTTTTTCAGTGATTTTAAACCACCACTTCACATGAGTGATTTGCGAGTAAGTTTATAAAAATTCTAACAGTATTCTTTTAATATATTTAGTACTAGCTAAATAGCCATTCTTTATACGGGGTGAGGTATTAATCAATAAATCAGTTCTGAATAACAATACAAAATAATGCATAAAACTGTACATATGAATGAAACTTTTATTATATACAGTAAGATCTCGATTATCCGAGTTAATTGGGACCGCTAGCCGCTAGTACTCGGATATCGGAAATCTCGGTTAATAGGAACCATGTATAAAATCCTTCCATGCTTGCGAATTTAACTACTTTTAAAGTAAAAAACAACCGAACGTTTTTTAAAGGATAAAAATAAACATATATGAACTTATGTTTCACAGCTAAAAAGACTTAAAAAGGAAATCAACTCTAGTAATAAATTTTAAAAAGTGAAATGGATTTTTTTTTTAACTATACTTAGTTAAATATCGAAAGACGCACTTTCAAAAATAACACAAATCTCAAGAAAATATTGTATTTTTAAAATTTACATGTTTAAACTTACAAGTCACATGACCATTGTTAACAAAGCATTCGTGGATTTTGTCTTCTCAGGGTGTAATATTTCATGGAAGTTGAGTGCTTTTGTGGGGAATAAGTGCTTGTAACAGGGACAACGAACTAATATGTGTATAATTTCTTCCAAGCTCATTTTGGAGAGGAGAAAAAAAATTTAGACTTCGTTATTGCCTCGGTTAACAGGAACCTCGATTAATCGAAGCTCGGTTAATCGAGGTTCTACTGTATTTTGTAAAATTCAAGTGCTAGACTGCTCGAGTAGTGCGTGAGGAAGTGATACAGTAAATAAAGAAGCATTGGGGTGAGTTATTTTTTTATTTATTGATTTAAAAAAAATAATAATAATTTATCTTTTCTTTTGACAGAGAAGAAAATAATTTTTATACCACTTGCTGCTGCTAACTACTGCATACTTACGGTTTATTTCGGTCCCAGATAGCAAAATAAGGTTTATTTTCACTCAGCAAAAACCTTTTAATGTAAACCTGAAAAGGTTTTTTTGTGCGGTTTACGTGTAAACCTTTTAACTTTAAAACGAGTCCTGTGGCAATCTGCTCTATTCTACGCAAATTACCCTCATCCAAAACATTGGAAAATAACCTTCTGTATAAAAACCTTAAATCGTTGTTGTCTTAGGGTTAAAATAACCTTAAATCTAGGTAATTGTAAGGTTTCTTTTCGCCAAGTCTTGCATGTTCAGCAAAAATCCACCTTCTCATGAAATTTTAATGTACCCATCGCTAGTGTAACGTCAGCTAAAACGCCATTATGGACCTAAATGACCATTTTACCTAAAGGACAAAACTTTTTAAAAAAAGCTTTAAAAACAGTTTTTAATCCTTTTAGGAAGAAAGGTTTAAAGCTGCAATATTTTTGCTCTATTGACAAAAGTTATTAAAAGTTATAAAGATAATTTTGATCAAGCTGGTCGCCAAAGGCGGTGAGTATATATTTAAAACGAAAATATTTCTTGCATTCGCTTTCAAGTGAACTGAAAGAAATGTGCTAGAAGAAGTTGCTAATTATAATCTCTTTTAATAGATAGTTGATTTTTATTTGTATTAGCAGCACGTGGCATTCCTAGACTACTGTTGCGAAAACCGCAATACTTAGTTGTTGTTGTAGTTGTAGTTCATTTACGTCGCACTAGAGCTACATAGTGGGCTATTGGCGACGGTCTTTGAAACATCCCTGAGGATGATCCGAAGACATGCCATCACAATTTTGATCCTCTGCAGAGGGGAGGGCACCCTCGCTTCGGTAACCCGACGACCCGCACGCGAAGTTGAGCACTTTACGGTAGGAGAGTACCGCACACCCTCGGTCCCTACGTAGAGTGATCGAAGTGGTCACCCACCCGCACACTGACCACAGCAAGTGATGCTTGACTTCGGTGATTTGCTGGGAACCGTGTCTTAACGACCAGTCCACTGCGGGACGTAATACTTAGTAGTGTTGAGTAAAATGTAAAAAATAAATCATCCCAGCCAACAGCTTGCAGTATCTTTGTGGGAAAAAAAGTGGTTGATGATGCTTTAGACGAAATCAATGTTTTTTTAGATTTGATGACTTCTTTCATTTTTAAATTTAATTTTAATTTTTTAATTGATTTTCTTTAATGGTCTTTTAATTTTTTTTAATGGTCATAGTGAAAACTTTTCGGATATTAAGAATTTTAAACTCAGACTATGTTGTGTCTTGTATCGTTGCTTCTTAATTGGCGAATTCCACGTTCGAGTTAATAAATGATATAAATACATTAAATCTCAATTAAATAAAATGAAATCAAAATTTCTCAATTTAATTAAGCCTTAGGTCGCTTAAAAACTAAGAGGAATTTCTGAACAATTAAAATAATATTATTAACTCAATTAGAAGGAAGGTTAGAAACGTTATATTTAAAAGAAAATTATATCCTATGTTTCAGAAAAGGTTATATCTTATTAGATATAATTTCTCCTCCATAGCAACTTGTTTTTAATTATTTTTTATCATTGTATTTCGAAGCATAGTCTTTTTATCAAAAGGTTTGTTTGTTATTTTTCTTTCATAAGATTATTAATTACCGTTACTGTTATTTCTTTGTTGTAATGTAATCCATACAACTTTGTTCATTCTTTTTATTTTCTTACGTCGGACAATTATTCGATAAACAATGAGGACAGGCGAGGTTTTAAATTGAGAAGAATTAACAAGTGCGACAAGACAGATTGTACCGTAAAATTTACAACGAAAAGAAATATTGTCCCACTTCTCTTAACTTCCTTTCTAAACGTTTACATATATTTTTTACCCCCCGTCGGACAAAACAACCAAATCATTATTTGAAGTTTATTTCCCATGTCTTTTCGCTCTTTCTGGCGACGCGAAAAGTTTCAAGGTTAAAATTGTTGCGCCAACTTCCACGTTACGCATTTGGCGGCTCTTTCTTTGGCTGAATATCTGCCAAGTGCATATGCATTTCTTGCCGAGGGCGGCAAAAAATTGCTGCCGTCTAAGCCAAGCATGACGAAAAGCCACCGACCTTTCTAGCAGCATAATACGAAAAGTTTCTATCCCACCTTCGCCCTTGGAACGTTTAATCTTTATTTAATCTGTTTTAAAAATTTAGTTTTGCGATGTTACAAGATGTAATCCTATCCAAATCATACTTTGCTATCTTCAGATAAGTTCACTGACATTTAAGAAGTTTGTTGGATGTTTTGTTTTCTGTGCTAGCGGCATCCGAATCTAAATTTTGTCTGTGTATTTATTTTTATGTGCTACATTTGATCAGGATTTTGTATTCTTGTTTTTTAGATTTGTATAGTGCTAATAAATACTCTATTAGATGAGTATAGAAGTTTCTAGTTAATTATACATCTCTCGTTCTTTGTAGAAAGATCAATAATTGTGATTTTGAAGTGTTAAAAGTCTTTCAAGAATTTTCTCATGAGTTTTTGACAAAGAAAATTGCACCTGTGGATATATTTACCTGTTAGGCAATAGAACCAGTGGATACTTATTTGAAAAGTTTTTTTAACGTGTGGATCTACCGGAAATAATTTAATTGTGCGTTTTCCTTTGTGAATTCATCAATATTTAGCGAAAACAATTGAAGGTAAGTATATTGAAATGGTAGTATAAATTTAACTCACATATATGTTTTTGCTTTATTTTATGAAAAGTTTCTGTAAATTATCTATGGTACTAAGTAACTTAGTGTCGAAATTATTTACGGATTTTACGTATCGCCAAATTTTTGCTTTTTTTTTGGATTTATGAGTTTTAACTTTGATGATTTTGATGGCATGCATAAATTGAATGTGTGCTTCATGTACTATAATGTTGTATTTATTCTGTGACAAAATAAATAAATAAAAATACTATCGATAACTCCGCCTAAAATTGTATCTCAACAGTAACTATCCCTCTAAAAAAATTATCATCAGATCTGAAGTAAAAGAAAAAAAAGTTAAAAAGGAAGAATGATGCTGTCAATCATCCTGTATTTATTTTTAGTTAAACAACAATTTGCAATACTTAATAAAAAAAAATTAGGTTTGTCATAATCTAAATTATTTGACTTGATTATTTTCTTATTTATAAAAAACAACGTTTATATAGGTTTATAATATTTTGCCTGAATTAACGAAAAAATGTTAACACAGGTGGGCATTGGAAAAAAAAAAAAAAGGTTTATAATATTTTAATTTTTAGACTAAAGCAAATTTTGTTGAATGATATATATTTCGTTACTGAATGATATAGAAAAATTTTTGATATTTTTTTTACTGCCATTGATTGATATCAGTTTCATTTAAAATGAATGTTTTCAATACATTAAATTATTATTAATGTATATATAATTTGTATATCCTTAAGGTTCAGATTTTTTTAAAGTCTTAATTGATTGATAATGAAGGTTTTATTCTGAGAATTAGGATATTATTTGTAATTTTTCATTGGGTTTTATAATTATTGATTGATAGTTGTTCCAGTTATAAATAATAAGGAAAGAAAACAAGACTAAATGCAGATATAGATTTTATGAAACTTGAAATGTAATTTTTGTTTATTGATTAAAGAGTACATATGATACTTTTTAAGAATAATATAAGTTTAGTGAACTTGTCTTAAACTTTAAGCTTATTTTACTAAAAAAAAAAGGTGATTTAAATGTTGTGTATAATTGAATGTTTAAATAAAAAATAGATACTAAAAAACATCTGTGCATCCAAAATTTGTCTGGTTCACCTATACCAGTGGTCGGCAAACTTATTAGCCCAAGAGCCAAATATGAACTTTACAACAATGTAATAACAAAGTGGGAGCCAAATTTGCTAGCAATGCAAAGCATCGGCAGAAAGCTTCCAACATTTGGACAAATAGAAGTTATCGAAAAATTGATGAAAAATTTTGTACCGGAACCACAAACATACATAGCATGTGTAATAAAATCGTATAAAAATACCTGTAAGATGACCTGCAGGATTGAAAAATACAACTTTTTAATAAGACAGGACAACGGCAGACACGGTGGATAAGACATAACTGTTCACACTGCAAGTCTGTGATGCCAATTTGTACCCCCACTATTTAAAAAAAAGGCGCGCATGCTTGTGGTACCTTTGTATCACACCGGAGTACGCCGAAAACATACGAACAATTTCAACCGGTAACATGGTTTACTTTTACAAAAACTAATAAAATTAAACTCTATGTTCGTTACGTGTTTTCACAACAATATGAAATTCTAATTACCTATCTATCTATTAACTTAAGCAAAAAATTATGCATGTTCTCGATTTATAGAAGAATTTTAACTTATCAAAATAAGATGTAATTTTTTTCTTACCAAGTTTTTTTTAAATGAAAATATTGCGCCTTCCATGGATATTTGTGCCAGAGCCGCAATTAAGGAGCCAAAGAGCCACATGCGGCTCTGGAGCCGCACTTTGCTGACCACTGACCTATACTAAAAAAAATTTCTGTTTTCGTACCCATGCCAGAATAATTGCTAATTTTTGGCAATTTAAAAAGGGACTAACTCGAAAGATAGTACATAACTCAAAGCGTTGCCACCCAAGTTAACCACAATGTATATTTTAAAACAAATAAAATTTGTTAGTAAGGTAAAAAACCCATTAACGTCTATGAGATTGTAGTTGAGACAAATTGATACCAATCTAGAAATATCTCTTTACATATTACTATGGTTTTTTAAAATGCTTATTGATATTCGAATAAACATGGTTGTCAAGTTGTAGAGATGTTGAGGAAAATTTACTAAGTGGTTGCAATATTTATGTTTTAATGTGTAAATGTTGGTGATACAATACTAACTCATAAATAATGTATTCATGTTTTTATTTTACACATGTTGCCAGATCAATAATTTGAGTTTACATATATGATATTTGTTAAATCTTACCATGTGACTATACAAGCTGGCTAGGGAAGATTTCTGTATCATTGCGTGTACTAAAAAAGTTGACAAAAGTTTGTGATGTCAACTAGAAGAAACATCTTTGAGTGGGACCAACTTGAGTTGAACTATATAACTTGTATCCACCCCCAGACAAAACATTAAAAATTTTTTTCGAATAATTGCAAGTGCCAAAACTCTTAATTTTTTAAATGAATGCTATTCATTTTTTTTTATAAAAGTCTTAAAACTTCTAAGCAATGTCATAAAAAATGAAAAAAAAATGTTTTTTTTTTTCATCATTACTCTTTTAACTTAATTGATTGACTATTTTAATGAATGATTTAAAAAAAAAAAAATATTGATTTAAATTGTTGGTCTTAAATTTTTGTATGTAGATGTTAACTGTCTTCTAGATACTATTTTAATGCTTTCTAATTTTTCATTCTTCTTTAGAGGTATGACTTGTAATTATTCAGCCGTTGTTCTCTTTTGATCATTAGTACATGACTGTCATGAGAGAAGAAGATTTTGAAGTTGCTATTAAAGTAAGATGGATTTGTATTTAATCATATTTTTATAATTTGAATTTGTTTTCAGTTGAATAGTTTGTTGGTGAGCATTTTATTCTGCTCATAGCTTGTAATGATTGTTTAAGTAATTGTATACAGCTGGAAATCAGTGTTTTAGAAAATGGACTCAGTGCAAAGTGTTATGTTTAGAGAATGGATATGTCAATTTTATAAAATAAATTTTCAGAGCTGTGTCCAAAACACACATTCAAGCTGTGTCCGTTTTGTAAAATGCTCATTTCTACCTGTGGTGAGTTTTTTAAATACATATTTAAAGCTAAGGAAAAGTGCAAGCTGCACCAAAAAATATAGAAAGTGGTGACTATTTTAATTGTGAAAACTAAAATTTTAAATAAGCAGTTTAATTTTAAAAATTCAGACATTGAGATATAAAACTGGCAATATATACCTAACTATTATAAATGTGTTTTGGTAGTTATTTAATTCTAAGAGAAATAAAATTGAGTAGTTTTATTACCACTCTCTACATATTTAGGTGCGGCTTTCACCACTGGCTGTGTCAAGTTCACAGACAAGTTGTTTTAATAGAAAAAGAGTATGTTTTTCATTAGATATAGGTGATTTTTCTCAAAACATTCACTTTTGCTTAAGATGACTAGGAAAAATTCATCTCATAATTAAATTAATATTGATAATTTTGACATTAAAATCATACATTTTAAAATACAAACCGATGACCAGCTATGAAATAAAAATTTAGTGACAGTTTTAATTTGTAATTCAATTGAAAAATGTAATTACTGCCCCTTCATTTAAAAAACACACAAAGGAAATATTTAATTTTTTTCTATGGATCAATAATAAGTTAACATTGTTATATAATATCTAATAGAAATTTTAATTAATTTTTTTCAAAAAAATAGACTTTAACTTATTCTTTTTAACTTATTCTCTTTAACTTATTCTTTTTAGTCATAAATTTGCTCTTAAGTTTTAAAATTTAGTGTTCGTATTGTTAAAAACAGTATTTTTACTGTCAAACAATGTTCTTTTATTATTGTTGAAATTCTTACATAAAAAAAACTAAATATGTAATAACATACCTAAGTAAATCAAACACATTATAAGTTTTTCAAATGGTAAAGTAATTATTTTTCCCTTTAAGCGCATGTAACACTTTCATAATATAATAAGTTATTAGGGGGGCCAGAAAGTGAAGTTGTTTCGTTGCATTTGATATTTGTTATCAAGATTTTATTTTTAATCAATAATGTATTCACCCTCGTTAGCATTAACCTTTCGATGCCGGATCGAAAATGAATTGAAAAAAAAAAAACAAATTGGTTTTTAAGACTAACGAATATTTAATGCACTGAAACGACATTACTTTCCGCTCCACCTAATACTTAAAAAGTTCAGAAATGTGTGACAGCAATGTCCCGACACACATTTCTCCCCAATACCTATCATTTTTTTTACCCATTATATTTTATTTTTACCTATATTTTATTATACCTATATTTTGATTTTGGCTAGGGTAAACTAACCAGTAAAGGAACACTTAAGCTTCGCTTGCCTTTTAAAAAGTCATATTAATTTCAAAATTCGTAATTTTAGTTAAATGACAGTGTCAATATATTTGTTACTAATTGCAAATTATGTAAAAAATATTGTAGAGAACTTACATAATATTGTTTTAAAGTTTTGGAGGTTCAAATAACAAGTAGTAAGAAGACCCAGTGAAGGAACAGTTCTTACCAGTGAATGAACACCCAGTAAAGAAACACTTAATTTTGGTTATTTTTTAATGCTCTTTATGAATTTATAAGCCGTACAAATATTTATAAACAAGCCTATTCTTGAAATTATAACATATAAATACTTGGAAAAATGATAACTTTTTTTTGTAATCATGAATTGAAAATTAAAGTGTCAACACATACTGTTCATTCATTGGGAAATCTATGCCCCCAGCAGTCGTTTTTCGTGTTTATAACATACTTTTGATGCGGAACATCACTAAAAGTACAAGAAAATTAAAGTTTATCTTTTATTTTCATTAACTTAGAAAAAAACCACGTAAAGGAACACTTGTTCCTTCACTGGTTTTTCATCATTTGGTGATCAAGTGAATAAACAACCCCTTATCTCAGTACATTATTATGCTATGATGCTTAAAAAAATAAAACTTAACTTCAATAACTATATTTTGAATTCTCTTTTTCACAGTGAGAAAAATAAAACTATTACATGCAATTAATTCCACTTCAAACATATAAATACAAACACTCACCTTATGTTTTTTTCAAAGAAACAAGGTGTTGCAGAGATAATAACAAATTCAAATTTTTTTCCAGAGAAGTCTATTTGACCAGGTAATCCAAAACATTGCTAGATGACTTCCTATTGCTTGGCAGTAAGCTACCATCTACCTAGCTTTAGATTGTTACCAATCAATCTAAAGAAAAACTTTCAAATTCTTGCTTTTAATCAATATATATGAAATGTTCCTTCACTGGTTGGTTTACCCTATATATACAGTGGAGCATCGTTTATACGACGCCGAAGGGACCACCGAAAAATGTCGTATAAACGATAATGTCGTATAATCGATTTTTACTTCTAAAACTGAAACTAACTCTGTTTTCAGTTAATTTTAATGTTTAACGTGTTAATTTACATAAATTTCTAAATTAGACAAAGCAAAACAAACAAATAACCAAAGGAGAAAAATTGCAGTGAGCCATTTGAATGTATGTTACCTTTAATTATATTTTCTTGCTATTATTCTCTACAATGCTTTGAATAGCGAGTTGAAGTTACTGCTTTCTATGACGCAATTTTAAGTTTCTAATCTCGGCCAAATCTAATGGCTGAAGCGCACTCGTGCAGTTTGCAGGAAAAAAGAGAGCTTTTACATTTTCCAAAATAATTAGTATCCGTGGGTGCGCTGGACATTGGTCGATGAATAGCACAATTTTTCGTTTTTTCCTCTTCATAACATTGTCTAGTTTTTTTCAGTCATCTAGTAAAAATTACGGTCGTCATCCAAGCATTCTTGTTGACACCCTTTTCTGTATCATTCATGTTGGCAAATTCCGTCCTTTTTTAAAATACACAAGAAAAAATAAAAAATTAAATGAAGAACAAAATCTAAAAATCGACGTATAACCGATTCTGTGCGGCGTATAAACGATATATTTTTACATTAAAATTAATAGGAATGATTTGGGACCACACTAAAACGTCGTATAAATGTAACCGTCGTATAAGTGATCGTCGTATAAACGATGCTCCACTGTATATATATATATATTTTAAAAATACAATTCAAGTACAAAGTATGTCTAATGCATAATTTTCTATTTAATCAAAACATACCATTCAATAATGAAAATAAGTATTTTAATGATAAATATTACTTAAGGACTCTAAAGTTAGATTTAGAAAATAACCCATACTTATCTACGATATATTTTGATTTTCATTACACTGTTCTTTTTTATGACTGTGATGTCATATAGAAATTGTATAAATAATACATATAATCTGAAAGTATCTGATGTGCTTACTTGATGCTAGTTATGAATAAAAACTATGATTGCTTTTTTGATAAATATTGGTACTGTAAACTTCTGATTAAGTTATTGCTTAAATGAAGTAAATTATCCATATTCTTAAATTTAAAGCTGTTGCTGGTATCTATGATTTGATATGACAAATGCTACTAGTATTCTGTTCTGATAGGTCAGAGTCTGTTTTATGATATTTTGTCACCAAATTCTATCTTGTGATTCCATAAAATTTTGTCTCCTTATAATTTGTCTGTGTAAGACTCTTTTGAGATATTTTTAGCAAAATTTCCATAGTTTTTCTTTTTATATATTTATGTTGATGATATTCTTGGTATACTAGGGCTAAATATTGTGGAAATATGCCTATATAACGGAATAAACATTTTTTAAATACTATAAAATGCTTGAATACAGGTAATTCTACCCAACCTTATTGGGCGTTATTTACATAATTCTTTTGTATCAGATGTTGTCTTACCTTTCAATTCTAATCTAAATGTGGACTTTATACGTTACACTTGCAAGTTTTAAAGAATGGTGAAATTTTGAAGATTAGTTAATTCTATAAGGCAACTAAATTTCAGTTAAAAGATTACATTGCAAACAACTACGATATAAAAATTTAAGTGACCATTTAGTTGATCCGATGATTTTAAGTTAGTAAATAATAACTTAATGATAATTGGAAGTCTTGAGGAGGAGTGGTTATTTTGTCAGAAATAAAACTTTTTTTTTCCTCTCAATAAAATGGTAAAAACCGAACTGACTGAATTGAATTCCCAAACAAAATGTCTAGTTAAAAATTTATTAATGATGATTATAAAACATGTAAATACATAATTGGCAGTTTCGATTTTCGTTATATTAATATAAGTTTAAAATATTAGAGCTAATTAAAATCAGATGATGTGTAAATTAAGTATTGATCCATCTAGATTGTTTGAGTCTATAATAACCGTTTTTCTAATAGATAATAAACATGATCTATTATACAGCTTTCCTATTCTCTCTCTAGGAAGCGATGGAAGAGGAATTAAAATATTTGTTAATTCTTTATAATTGTTGAGCATAGTTTAAATGTTAAATTTTATTGTATTTTTTCTTTGAATTCCTTTGTGAATAAAAATTATAAAAGCTGTTTAGATAAATTAAATAAAAACACAACCTGCTTGATGAATTCATAAATTATTTTTATTCACTTCTCTATATAAATTACAGTGGTTATAAATTGCAACTAATGTTTCAAAATATTGTTTACTGTGTAATGTATAATTGAGAAAAAGTTTGTGATTATTCTGTAATAGAAAATTTTGTTGAAGTTTAGTAAATTTTTTTTAATAATCATTAAAATTTTCAGGTTGAAAATTAAAATTTTGGAATTTTTTAATTTTATTTTTGAATAACGTATAAATGTGAAGCTTTTATACTTTATCTCTTTAAAACTACTGCATTATGCTAAGTGCTCCGGTCTGAAAAGATTTTAATTTATTGAAATTTGAATATGAATGTTAGTTTATTTCTACATTTAATTAAACATCAGAAAATTGTAAATCATGTTTATTATATTAAATGTTTTGTTTTTGAAAAAGAAATATAAATGTACATTCTTGGTTAAATTTATTTTTGTGTGACAAAAATTTGCGTAAAATTCTGCTTTTGAAAATTCTGCTTTTTCTCTTTTTGATTATTTTTTGATAATCTGTGGAAAAATATCTAAATTAACTCCATGGATTTCTTTTCGGACATAGTTATTGATCTTGCATCATTTATTGTTGTAATTGATTACGAGAATATAATTATGCAACTTCAGTCAGTCCTTTGTCAGTTTTTAAAATATGTTTAGTCTCCTGTTGAATAAGCAAAGGATTTGCACCTAACTTATAGTATAGTCTGAGGAAGGCATTAGCTCACATTGGGCTGTCTGGCCAACTATGATGATGATGATATAGTGTAGTCTGAAAAATAAATAATAATGTCTGTGCAGAATAAAATACTTGGATTTGTATGTATTCTGCAAAATTTAATCTTTATCTAACTTTGACAAATACTAATTTATTGCTGCAAATTGTTTTGTTGTAGATAATTAAATTTTTTTTAATATAATTACAATGAATTTCAGTCAATATAGCAAACTGATTTTCCTAAACTGCAACATTTTTTGTTTTGTTTCTGAACTGCCCTCTTTTTTAGTTATTAAAAAAATGAATTAATTTGTTTTAGGTTGTGGTAGTTGGCAATGGGGCTGTTGGAAAATCAAGTATGATCCAGAGGTATTGCAAAGGGATTTTCACCCATGCTTACAAGAAAACAATTGGTGTTGATTTCCTAGAAAGACAAATTGAGTAAGTAACAGTCTTTTATTATACCTTTGTAATTAATTGTATTACAATTATTTGTTATATTACTACAAACATGCTATACACATATACAACGACTGACAAAAGTTCTAAAATTTTAGGTGTCAGGTTTAGAATTTTTTTTACCTATTTAAATTTTCTGTAAAATAAATAAGTATTTTTCCATCAACACTCTTGACTATATTTTAGGGTTATGGGTCATATCTGTGTATTTTATGTTGTCATGAATAGAGGAGTTAATGTTTAAATTAAAAAATCAAATTAAGCTAAAGATTAATGGAAATAAATCGTTAGTGTGGGTCATATTTGTCCCTTCGCAATAAAGGAGTTAAATATTGATTTAAAAATCAAATCAAATTCATCATAAATTTTTATGAAATCTTTGACAATTTAACGGAGTTTTGTTAAATGTACTAACTTTAAACAACTTTAATTTTAAAACATTTGGGGAGACAAAATACACATTTGCATCTTTGAAATATGTGAATTGTTAAAGAACTCTTCTTCTACACGATTCTTTTCATCACAAATTGATAGATTCTAAAAGATCAAAATTTTGAATGAAAACATTGAATATTTTACTAAAAATTCTGTTTTCCACAAACTTTTTGCATCAATGAACTTTTATCATTAAGTGATTTTAAAACAAGGAAAACTATGGGGAAAAGTGACTGATTGTTTATTTGACTTAAATGGCATTTTTTTTGTTGACTCTCCCCATGGAGAGTGGTCTTTTTCAGGTCTATCTTGAATCACTGATGATCCAGATCATCTGATTTAGACTAGTGTATCTGATTGATACTACCGACAATTTTTAATGATTTTATTGGAAATGATTAAGAAAACTTCTTTTCCATAAATTTGTTATAATTATTGGGACCATTAGTGTAAAAGTTTATTAAATTTTGTTGAACATTTAATCAAAAATAGTGGTTGAAATTGGACATTATTGATTTACATTGCAAAGACATTCAGTACAGTGTAATAAGTTACATTTGTGTTGTTCCATTCATAATAAAAAATTACGCTGGAATTTATTTTTTTATTTCAGTAACTGTGAGTGTAATAAGTTGACAAAATTTTAGAAACAATTTATTCTTGTATTTTAGTAAATCTTATTATTAGGAATACTGCAAAATTCAATATATTTTGAGTTCTTTTAAATTCCATGATAACTAATTTTTAACTGTGCAAAAAGCGATGATTTTCTTAGCATTGCCAAAATGAGTTGCGTTATAATTTACAATAGTAAATTTACAATGTTAAATAGTTTTTTTTAATGTAATATTCTACCCATATACAATCTATATTTTGCAAAGTATACTAATAAGAACCATAACATCAAATTGTACTTAAATAATTTATAGCAGCATTCAAAGAGTTACAACAAATCGAAAATAGATTGATGAAATATCTATGGAGTATATGATGTCATAAAATGTTTTGAAGAACTGATGGGAGAAACATCTTAGGAAAAGCACAACCATGTGTGTTTAATAATCTTGCTCACCATCTTACTCTATTTGGGGTCAGAGGTTTTGTCTTCTTCCATGTCTTGCTAATTATCAAATCTTTAAAAGCGTCATTTTAAGGAAACATGACTACAAATTTTAATGTGAAATTACGTGATTATGTTATAAATAATGTCTCATTGTTTTTTATTATTTCTGTATCAAGTGATTTTTTTACTGTGTAAATCACTGCAAGCCATTGTTTTAAATATACATGTCATCCAAAAAATATTTTAACTACATTTTCATTCTAACATTAGTAAAATTCTGGCCCTTTATTAGGGAAAAAATATTTTTTTAAAAATTTATTTATTACTAGAAATGCATTCAGATAGCACCAATGCAAGATCTTATTTCTTTGTTAACATGCAGTATATGTTTGTAAAAACTATGTAAGGTCATTTAAGCATTTTTTAATTGCTTTATAAAGTAGGGGTGCACAACCTGCAGCCATGACAACACCTGAACATGAAAAGAAAACTAATGTGATTTTTTTGGAATTTTTTTTTTTTAATTGCCCATTTAAGTTTTTGATGTACACATTATAGATTAATGTAGTTTTTCTATCACTTTTTTGGTGGTGATCGCTATGAATGTCAGAACTTTTAAAAATCCCAATTTTTTTTAATGAGATGTAATTACTATGCGTTAATTTCAAATTTTAGAAATAAATTTAGAAACTCTTTATAAGAGAACATTTCATTGTTAAGCCAAGTGACTTTTTGAATGTGTTTTAGCAATTATTGTTGAAGTTCCATGTGTTTTTTTAACATCCGGATATTTTTAATACGATATTATAACAGCCTACGAGTTTTGAATTCCAATAACAATCCTTTTTGATGTGCTTTATTAGTGTTGATGTTATTGTAAATCCAAGCTATTTTTATATGGTTTATTCTGCATTCATTGTTATGCATTTCTACATGCTTTTGAAAATTCCAATGTTTATAATAAGTATTAGTATGACACTTGAATCAAGCATTTAACTCTGCCCTTTCTTTGTGCCAAGGAAATTTTTTTTACCGTTCTTTTAGCAGTTTTGCTGGTGTATTGAAAATTTCGATATTTTTAATCCAATGTTAGAATAACTTGCCATTTTTGACTCCTGCATTTTACTAATCACTTTCTACTTCCTTTAATTGTGGCAATTTCATTATCAATCTAATTTGCAGATTGTTTTTTTTTTATCAGTTTAATCTACTCTTCTTTTCTCAGTATTTTTAATATGATCATCACTTTTGATGTGTTTTAGTGAATTTTTTTTTAATGGAATATGAATAAAAAGGCTGCATTCTTAAATGATGGCGGCTTATTTTTACAAAAAGGGGCAAGAGTGTGCATCAAATAGCAGGCAGGGTCGGCCGCTCTTCTAAAAAAACTTTGATAAAATACTGGTATATATGTATATATATATATATATATATACCATATTAGAAAAAAATGGCACAGAGCATGTATTATAATTGATGTTTAAATATTTTCAATTGTTTATTTCACCAAATTTTAATAAAAAAATATGCAAACCAAAACTTATACCTGATAAAAGAATGAGCACTTTTATTTAGTGAGCAAAATAAAGACTAGTATTTTTATTTTAAATTTTATAATTTGTGATAATAAAAATTCTGTTTTTGTCTCTAGTTATAATGGGGAAGATGTCAGATTAATGATCTGGGACACTGCAGGCCAAGAAGAATTTGATGCTATAACAAAAGCTTATTATCGAGGTTCGCATGTCTTTTTTTTATTTTAATGATTTTTTTTTAATGTTTTGGAATACTGAGTTGTAATTAAAGAAAATTAAAAATTAAGTTTCTGTACAATTAGGTTTTTTTTTCTAACTGTAATGTTAATTATGATTTTGAATAGTTTAATTAGTGAAGGTTTTATTAAAGCTGCATGTGTTCAAAACATATTTTTAAGGTATTTTATGTGTCCTTAGGATTTGAAATATTATTATTTTTTTTTAGATTTGTGAAATTTTTATATCTTAGTGATAATCTGTGATTTAATGATCATTGATTTATATATTGTATTACCGTGAAGTAATATCTTCTCATATTTCTCATTTACATAAATATAGATGCTGTACCGTTACCCTTCAAACTTTGGCNAATAAAAATTTCTCCTAAAATATAATTTTGATTGCATTTAAATTTTATCATAGTGGTGCCATCTATTGAAAAATAACCCTTCTTTAAAAAGTATTGATACAAAAAAAAACTTCAATAAATTCCTATTTATTACAATGCCTCTATAGTCAATAACATAACTGGTTAAATATAACTGATCTTTTTCTGTTATATTTCTGCTCTTCAGGTCTGTTTTAAGTTAAATTTTTTAATTGTATTTGAACTTTCTTATTTTATTATTATTTGAAGTTGCTTTTTAGTTTACATAATTTTTCAAAGAAAAGCAACTCGATTTTAATATTTATGCTCTAAGCATATTTTAGTGCATTTTATCTGCCTTAGGATTTTAAATATTTTTTTATGTTTGTAAAATTTTCACACCTAATTGATAATTTGCAGTTTAGTAATCATTGTTTTATATATTGTCTTACTAAGAGACAATTATCTTTCTTCTTATATTTCTCATTTAAATAAATTTTTTTGTGCTTTTTGCAGCTTTAAGTTAAAATTGTCTAGTTTTTTATTTTATTATGTTTTAAAAAATTTAGTTTTAATTTACTTATTTATTATCTATTATATGTTATGTTTGTATGTTGTTATCATAGTTTCAAAAAAGTCTTTCTGTAAGTATTTTCCTAAAAGTATTTTCACTTAGGATTCATTATAAATAAAAGTGTAATAAGATGTAATTTGCATTACATTGTACTTTACATATTTAGATTTTTTTTTGTAATTTTCATAGCTGTATGACATTTTTATGTTTTATTTATATGTAATTTATGTTTCTTTTTCATGTTTTATTTACATGCCTTTTTGAAAAATAATGATATTTTAGGTGCTCAGGCTTGTGTTTTGGTTTTTTCTACTACTGACAGAGATTCTTTTAAAGCCATTGAATCTTGGAAAAGAAAAGTATGTATATTTTTATATTGATTTTCCTGGCATTATGTAGTATTGTAATTCTTTAGCTTTAGTTCTAAGAGTTATCTTTACAAAATTTTTGTGTCACCTCTTTGTTAATATTATGCATATTTTATATTATAATCATTAGAGTTTTCTTATAATTTTTTATTTCCTGCTATTAATCTAAATTAGGTAATATTTAATAATTAGGTGACAATACGCAAATGATATTTGCTTATAATTATTAGTTTTTTTCATTAACTTAATTCTTGTTTTAACTCTTTTTAATAATTGTGTTGGGTGTCAGTTGTTGCTATTAATAGTTTGTAGGATTTTAAGTTGGTGTACCAGGTACTTGATATACCATGACCTGCTACCCCTGGCCAATTATGCAATGTGGGTGGGTGGGGGGTTTAATCAGTAGGCCATAGTTTAGAGATCCGTTGTGTACACTAATACATTGATGCTAACTTGCTCCATACAGCGGATAAATTTTTTCGAGTGGTAGTTTTTTTATGTATGACTTTTGGTTTAATAAATTTGATTTATTAGGTTTTTATCCACCTCTATTTCTAAATAATTCGAAGGCTTATATAATTTACCACTTTGTTATAGTTAAGTCATGTTAAACCTTTTAAAAAGTAAGCATAATTAACCCAACATCTGCAAATTTTAGTTTGTAGTTATTTACTGTTTTCTAAATTATTTTGTCGTGTCCGGAGCAGTTGTCATATCTGCTAATAAAGGAGTGTTTTTTGTTTGAATATTAGAATAATTATTAGCAGTTGCCTGTTTGTTTCTCATCTCTTGCTTCATTTCTTATTTAGCACATTTGCCTACCTTTGTTTTTGATAATATGATTATTTTGCTGAATATAATTAATAGAATTAAAATAATGATAGAAAGTACAATAATATTACCAGTGAAAAAAGTTATTATCTACAGTTTTAAAAATATTTTGAAAAGAATATGCTTAACATCAATTGATAGTTTGAAGAAGCATTTATAGTATTACTTCTGTAGCATTCTGCATTAGTCAATTGATTGAACAAGCTTTGATTATATTGATTTGTATTATATTTTCTAAATAAAATGACCGACAGTTTTGTAAGAAAGTTTCTTAAATTATTTCAATAGGAAATTATGATCATTTTGAGGAAATTATGTCAATATAATAATGATATATTATATAATATATTTTAATATTAATTGGTGATTTAATGTTAGTAAAAACACAGTTTATAAAAGGATTCAAAATTATATGTACAATCCAAATGTTAAAAACAAGAGACCCGATTATCCGAGTTAATGTGGACCCCGACTAACTCGGATAATTGAAAAACTTGGTTGAAAGAAGAGTATAAAACAGAAAAAAAAAGAGTTGGTATAAATGAAATATATTTAACAAATACAAAATTTATACGAGTATGCATACAATTAGGAAGGCTCATGTCACCTCTTCTTGTTGTTCTATATATTCAATAGCACTTTCAATAGCTTTTAGTGCATCTGTATGAGAGATTTTTATATGTTGATTTTCATTATTGACGATATTAATGATAATTTCATTCGTAATCTCGTGTTATTCATCAGCTTGTTTTCCTGAGTGTTAGGAAGATAAAATTCAGTATTTTGTTAGGTAGTAGTTTTAAAAATAAAAATTAAACAAGAACAAAAAAATATCCTTAAAATATTTGATAGCTCGGTTAAAGTGGAAACTCGTATAATCGGGATTCTGCTGTATTTACATTGTTTATTAACAACATTAAATGAGAGTAAAGGCAAAAATTTTCCACCAGCTCTTATACTTCAAGGACATGAACTCATTTTGATTTCAGGGGTCTGTCCAGGCCGAATTTACAACCGTTTAGCGGTACCTTCACAAATTCAACTTCAGGAAAAACGGTAGTTTCGCAAATTTAATTTTAGGAAAAATGGTAGTTACAAAAAATACTTTTTCTTGAAATTTTATTTTTGTACCCCTTAATAAACGATACATCCATATTTTTACCATATTTTTGTGTTGATTTTAAAAATAATTTTTAATTTTTCACAAAGTATGTATAAATTTTCACAAATCTCAGAAAAATGTACCTCTCAGAAAAATCTAGACAGACCCCTGGATTTAGTTGCCAAAGACAATCAAGCTAACAAAAAAAACTATGATGGTTGTGAAGGATAAATAGCTTAGCTGAACAAAAGTTCATTTTGATAAAGGACAAATATCTGCCATTAATTTGTAAAGTTATGCTCAAGCAATAATTTAGAAGAAATAGTTTATAAAATTTAAACAGGAACATTGGCTGCTCATAATATCTAGTTCTTGTGGAAGAATTGGATGATTATATGTATCATCCAATGTGCCATGGTTTAGACTCCTAATCTATAAAAAAAAATAAAAATAAAAAACTCACTATGCAATGACTCTTCATTTAATAACATCTAGTATAGTATGTGAAGAACCATCCTTGTTAGCTGTTGATCACATCCCAGGGATTAGGATTATTAATAATTTATAAGATCTGAAATTTATGATTTGATTACTTAACTACAATTTGATTTCTCACTATTATTACTATTTTCTTAAATTTGAATTATAATTTTCTAAAACTGTTTAATGATTATTGTTTACATTATCTTTAATAGGTGGAAAATGAATGTGGGGAGATACCTACAGTTCTAGTTCAAAACAAAATTGACTTAATTGACCAAGCTACTGTTGCTAAGTATGTATTTACTTTTCCTTAATTTACTTTGTATGATAAATAAACTAATAATGAATTAAACTAAATTCTTAATAAACCTTTTCTTATTTTGCTCGATATTTTGTTAGCATTATTTATTTTTTACTCCTGTATACCCCACCCTTGATTCAGTTTGAATAGAACTGAATTTTTCCTGTCTTTTTTTCAATCAGAGAACACTGCACTACAAAGAAATACTTGTACAAACTTACCAAAGTTTCTTTACAGTTAGAGTAGAGCTAGCTAGTTTTGTTTGTTATATATTTGGAGAAATGCTAAAATATTAGACAATTTCACCTTAAGTCTTGCATGTTACGCAGTGTAACACAAATTAATGAATACTATTGTAAAAAAATATTATGTAAAGAAGTATCTATGCATGAAATATCTTTGTATCAAATATGTAAACATAAAAATGGGTTTAATTCATATTTCTAAAAACCTAAAGCTGTTTACCAAATTATTTTGTATAATGTCTTATTGTTCCATGTCCAATAGAGAATCGCTTAATGCATCATAATAAAGTAGCATTAAAATATTTATTATCTTATCAAATAAAAAAATAACTATCTTGTGATATTTCCACTGGAATTGTTTATTTTTGTTCATGTCAACTAAGATTAATGGTAAAAATCATAATTGATGACAGCAATTTCTATTGTATCATAACAAATTGTCAGTTGTTTTCAGTGTGTTGTGTTGCATTGAAATTTTCAAATAAGCCTGATCTAATTTTAATATAATTGGATAAATTCTATTATTATTATTTTTGTCTTTTCTAAGGACAAAAGAATAATGGTTTTGTGAAATAAAAATCATGTTTATTTATTAAAAATATTTGATAATTAAAGAGTGTCTTAAATTTGACTGCTGATTTTTAATGAAGGCTAAAGTGCATGCCATGTATCTGCAAAATTAGTATTAAATATCTGCATTTGTTTTTCTAAATAGTATTGAAATAATAATACTATTAGAAATAAACCTTATTATTTTTTTTTATAATTCAGGGATGAAGCTGAACTTTTAGCAAGAAGACTGAAGTTAGACTTCTTTAGGATATCTGTAAAAGAAGATTATAATGTATCAGAAGGTATGTTTCACATATATTTTTTAACTAATGATGCTCAAAGCTATCATATTCACTAAAATATTTTTCTCCTTTTTTCTAGTGTTTCGTCATTTAGTGAAAAGGTACTTGGAGTTAGCTAATGAACCAATTGAAGAAATAACACCAAACATACATTCTCTTGGACATCGTAAGTTTCGTACACTAATACATTGATGCTAACTTGCTCCATACAGCGGATAAATTNCTTTTTTTTTTTTTTTTTTAAAATGTGTATGATATTGGAGATTGTATTGTTCATTCAATGCCATGATGAAGAATTAAAATACTACTTTTTAACTTAGAAGTTATATCTTGTTCAGCTAGAGCCATCTGCAATGTTTTAATGGCACATTTTGTACTGGGACAGAAATTACTCAAAACTGGGGGCAGATGCAAAGTGATGTGTAGAACAAAATATACAAGTTATTCAAAGAATATTGATTATAAATATTTAAGTAGACAGTCATACTATATCAGAATATGTACTCATTAATCTCTGTAATATCCATCTTCATTATATAGTAAATAATTCTAAAATTTCAGGAATGTGTATAGGGAACGGAAGACAGTAATGACATTTTGCCTATATTTTTTGTTGTTGCTCCTTTTGAGTATTTTAAGCCAAATATACCATTTAGTAATAAAAATAAATATTAAGATAAATATTGCTCAAGGATTTGAAAGTTAATGATATGAGAAAAATTACCCATGTCTATTTAATATTACACATAATTGAATAAGAATTTTTTGAATTACCCTTTATAATCATTTATATTTATTCATTGTAGATGACTATGATGGCTATCCTCCACATAATGTATATATGCGTTCTTCATTTTCAAATCCTACAAATGGAACAATATCTCTGCACAAACCCAAACGAAGCAAAAGTGGGAAGAAACACTTTTTTAGGAGTTGTCGTTTGTTGTAATAGATAGATATTTTGTATTATTGGAATATGATATGTGTTGTATCAAAAAGTTTGTTATTTGAGGAATATAATTCTGGTGTGTAATGTTTGCAAGTATTCTCTTGAATACTGTACTTGTGAGTTTGTTATCTTGTGCCTTTTAGTGTGCTCTGTTAAGGTTGTTCTTCAAATGCTCTGTCATCATGCGAAATATTATTTTATAAGCGAATAATTTTTTATTTTCATAGCTATTGTGTGACAGTTTATCATGGCTTTTGTTTTATCAATCTTTAGTCAGTGTTTTCTATACCAATTAGGAAAATTGCACAATAAGGCAAAAGTAAAAAGTGTTTGTTGTAATTTTTTGATTTTGAAAAGTCACTCCAACATTCATAAATATGCATAAAAGTTAAGAAATATTCATTAATTTTACCAATTTTTTTTAAGGTGAGAAAAATCTTGCCAAATGTTCCATAAATTTTAAAATATTTACAGAGGTACCAACTATTACTCAATCATAGTCAGTCTTGCCGTTTTTAAGAATTTACGTAAAAATCTGTTTAAAATATGTTTTTTTCCCTTTACTACCTAGAGGAAAATTCAATTTTCTTGTTTACAACTGATCTATGATAATTATTCCCTTATCTTTTCAACAAGCTATTCTGAAACTTTACTATCTCTTCTTATGAAAAAGCAAAACAACATAAATTCAAGACTGAAATACTGTGAGCAAAAACTTATAGTGGTCAAAATGTGAGATGATAAAAGACGAGATGGGCTAGCTCTAATTTAATCAAAAGCTAGAACATTGATTCCAAGTAATCAATTTAATTTTATCATTTTATAATGAAGTATAAAATTTAATTTTAATATAATTTTTAATTTAATACCTAATTATATAATTTTAAATTATTTAAGTGCAATAACTCAGAAACATATTTAGTGGGCTTTTACAAAATTCAAATTAGATCAATTTGAGGGTATACTTAATCCTATATATGCATATCATATTAATGAAATGTGTGAATTTGCTATTTAATAGCAAATTAATTATATTAACATGCTACTATATGCTTTTACTAATTTAATTTTATTAATATGATATAATATGATATATGATATACATATATAGGATTAAGTATACCCTAAAATTGCACTCATTTGAATTTGTAAACAATGTGTGAGTTTGTTATTTAAAAGCAAAAAATTTTTATTAATATGATATACATATATGGGATTAAGTATACCCTAAAATTGCACTAATTTGAATTTTCTAAACACCAACTAAATATATTTCTGAGCTACTGTACCGATAATAACTAGGTTAGAAAGTTGGCACTTAGTAGTAGAGAAAACTGCTCAAAAATTTCAATATCGGAAAAAGCATTTATGATGTAATTTTTTTATATTACAAAAGTCACTCTTAAAAGTACATAAAAATTAAGAATTGGTCATTAATTTTAGCAATTTTCTTTTAGTAGGAGGGGGGAAATCTCTCCAAATTTTTTTTTTTTTTTTAAATATTTAATTCAGTTGTCTGTTTTAAAGCCTAGACAATTTTTTTATTAGTAAGATACTGTAGATAGTTTAAAATTATAGTTTTGCTTTAAGTTTAAGGAGTGTTTTTGTTGGTGACAGAGCTTTGAAGAACCCTTTGCGAGCATTAGAAACCTATTGGCTTGATGAAACAAAGTTTTCCAAATGTTTATTAATATTTGTTGTGATCTGTGATTGAAGCACTTTTAAAACTAGAATGAGGCTTTACATTTAATTGCTATGCATTGTTTGTAGTTTAAAATGAAAGCAATAAATAAACCATAAAAGATCCAAATACTCTTTAATGGAGCATAATTGTTTGTAACTTATAAACATCAATGAAGAAATTTATTAGAAACATATTTTTTCCGTTTTTAATTTTAAAAAATAAAACTGAAATCTACTTATATAATTTTAAAACTATGTGTCAGATATTTAATTTTAAATAAATATTAAATTCAAATGTTCTTGTTAAATATGAAAGGGTTCCATGTTTTTCATAAATTCTGTTGACAAGTGCAGAGTAGCTGATACATTTTTGAGTATGATATGGAATTATTTATAGCATGATATAAATTTTAAACAAATTTGAAGAAAATCATTTAAAGGAAAAGAAACAATTAACAGAAAATCTTCGGTAATCAATTATTATAGGTTTTTAAAAAACTAGAATTTGGTAGAAAGCTAATTAGTTCTTATGAATGACTTGATAAATTAATTCATTAAAAGTTCACATAATTTTATGTCAAGTACATCCAATTTCATTCCCTTAGACTCTTTCTTTTTTGTTTCATTCATAAATTGTGCCATAATGTATTGCTCTTTTATTATGATTAAAATATGGAAACTACTTAACAATTAGTAATTGTAAAATATAATTAGCTTTTAGCATTTATATATATCTCTTAAAAAAAATTTTCTTCAAAATTGTATAATTGAGTAAATTCGTTGAGGCTTAAATTCTCTAAAAAATTATATTCTTTGGCCATTAACTTAAGATATTTTATCTCATAAATAGTCTTGTTGAACATCGTTTAATGATTAAATCATAGCTGCACTTATATATATATATATGTTTTGTAGCATTAGATTCTATCAAAGAGTGATTTGATGTATTTTATAATTTTACAACTAAGTACATTTGATGAAAAAATGTGATTCTGGATCCGTCCATTTTATATAACAGTTTTTATAATTCTGTGACTTACTATCTAGGTTGTAGCAACTGTTTAAAAATTTTGATCTAATTATCATTCTGGTTATTGTTAAGAATTATGTGCCTATAAGACTATGCTGACATTTTTGGCTTAGTTTGGTTAGAGAAAATATAAATATGTCATTTTGCCAAGAAAATTGTTCTAATTAGTGCAAGCATGTGATATTTTAGCATTTTGACACAGAATTCAGCAGTTTTTATAGAGGAAAAGTTTTTACTTAAAAAAAAAAAACTGGACTATTTGCAAAGTTATCTTCTTAAAATAAATTTCAATTAGCATGCTATTTCAATAGTTATTGATAGGGTAACTTGTCTGTAACTATCTTCTGATTCCGTCCTTAACCAACTTGAACAGTTTCAAGTTTGCTGCATAATAAAATTTCGAAATAAAACTTTTATGAAAAAAGTTTGTGCTTAATTATTGCATTACAACTTTATCTCTGAATATGGCATATTTTTTATGCTTTTTATTTCTGTAGAAATAACATAGTATAATGTTTCATGAAAGTTCTTTTATGTCAGATTCTTACATGTTAATATCTCCATTACCAAAATTTCTGATAATGCATGTGCTTGTACCTAGCCTAATTCCCAAAAGAAGAGTGATTTTTAAAACAATTAAGTTTATAATTCTTTGTTTGGAAAATGAATTAATTACTTTATTTATTTAAAAAGTTTTATCTATATCAGACAAATGTACCATTCAACTCTTATAAAATGGTGCATAGCCATGTATTTTAAAAGTTTCTGTGAATATGATTTGGATAATCTGTTTTATATTTATTTTTGAATAAATCATTTAGTGTATTAAGCATCATGTACATTGATCATTGGCAATATTAGTTGCTATTCTACTTAATTTTTAATTTACCGGTGTTTAAGCATCACTTAGTTGTTCATTATTTTTTAGCTAATTAAACATTTTGATGTATTTTTATTACAAACAAAAAGTTTGAGTATTTTTATACAAGTTTCTTACAGATTAAATTGCTACTTTTTACACTTACATATTTATGTATAACTGTTTATACACTTTTGTGTTTATTGTTTTGCCTACTTGTAATGTAGATAAAATAAAATACTTAATACTGATTGTTTTTTTTTAATTGTTAGCATATATAATAAATAAACGATATAATTTTTTTATATTTAATTATCATAACTTTAATATTCAACAGCAACTTGAAAAAAATCAATTTAATAAAGAAAAGCATAATTCAGTTTTTAAAATTTGTAATCTAAGTTGAAATAAAAATCAGAATACAATAACAATTGTAACTTTTATTATAACTTCATAACAGTGAATGATCATTTTCAAATTTTATTACAAACAGCGCGTAAAAGTAATTTCATCTTAATAGGAAACAGGATTCCCATGGGTCTAGAAAACTTTGGTTTTGGCACTAAATATAGGAAAATAGCACTTAAATTCATATGGTATAATCATTCCTACAATTGAATTGTCAGTGCTAATAATCAATTACAGAGATTGAAGTTGATTATTTCAAATACCTAGTACATTATTCTTTGTAAAAATTCCAAATTTAAACAGAATCATTACCCAATATCTTCATTTAATGATATTTTGTCCCACATTAAGTCTAATGTATCAAATTAATAAACTACCGTTTTTCTGATGATAAATTGCAGTTATATATATAATGTAATAAAATAGAGTCTGGAATTATGTTGAAATTTACCAGAAATTCTTGGAAAAATTTATTTGGGAACCCTGGGGAGAGTAGATATAAAAATTCATTTTTCTATGTTTACAATAATTTATTTTAAATAACATAATTTTTTAAAATTATTCATTAGAATTTAATAAAATTGTTCATGTTAACACAAGTACATCTTTGTGTATATAGTGTCTTTCAAAAAAATTCTTTTATTGAATAACTCTTATAAGAATATAATTTTTCAAATATTCACCATTTTCTCTGTGATAAAACTCTTGCTATAATCATAATTTTACAATAATTTGATTGGTAACAAAAATAAAAATTAGATTTTATACTAATTGATATTTTTAAGAAGAAAAAAAAACAATACAGCAACTATTGATTAATGATAACAGATATTAATATAATACATTAAAATTTTTAACACATACATCTTTCAACATTAAATTTTATGACTAATTACAACCAAAAACAATTTATTTTAGAAATGCAAAGCGAATAAAAAGGAATGAAAACTCCAACTTATGCTTTTAGTTCACATTGATCCTTAAAATAAGAAGACATACAAAGCATAATAGATTTACAATTTAGATAGAATAAAATATCAAAAATTTACTTAGAATACAAGGCATGATAATATACAGACATAGAAAAAAATTACTAATTTAAGCTCTTATTTAAAATTTCATACTTGGATGAAACTATTTCTAATTTTATTATTTTTTGTACATATTTTATCTCATATATAAATTGGTAAATAATTAGCTGTGAGGTCTGCAGCCATTGAATTAAAATAAATTTTAGTTCATTTAGTAAAAATATAGAAAATTTTTTATTTAGTCGACTACAATAAAACACACAAATTTAGTTATTTTCAAACTAAACATAACAAACATAGTTGGAGAATTAAAAAAGAATATTTTTATATAACTATTTTTCCATAGAAAAATATTAAAAACTTGATATCGCTATACTTTATTAAAGAAAAAATTTTTTAAGGGGTCTTGAGGGTTTTTAATAAAATTTTCAATTTTTTGAAAAATTTTAGAATTTTGATATTTTTTTAATTCAGAGCAATTAAAGTTAACCACGTGACACCAAATATATGATAATTTTCAAAATACTAGCATAAATATTAAAACCCACACACTGAAAGCAGAAAATAACACACACATTTTCTAAACAGGAATCTTCAGCAAACTGGCAATTTGCTTGAAAGTTTTGTCTATAAATTTTTCTCAATTCATGTTTTTTTCACCTGGCGCACAAGATATCCTGACATCTTATAAAGTTATAAGTTATCTTATAAAGTTAAAACTTGTTAATTGATTGGCTGTATTGTATGATGTTTTAATTCATACTAGCTCTTCAGTATTAGTAAATAGTTTTTAAATTTTTTTTTTAAATTAAAAAAAAACTTTTTTTTTGAGCTTGAATGGTTTTAAAAAAAAACATAATTTACTGCACATTAAAACATATTTCAAGTTATTAACATGATTTTTATGATTTATATCCTGCAGGCAAAACACTATAGTATCACTCCCTCTTTTTTTTCCCTTCAAATTTTACTTCTAAAAAAATTAAATTATTAAGTTCTTTGCAGTAATTTACAGAGTTGTTTGAATTTAAATGATATTTGTGTTAATGTTAAACTTGTGTAAAAATTTAGATAATATATAAAAAGCAAAAAAAAAAAAAAAAAATTGTTCAAAGATGCTTTCTTAATGAAATCAATACCACCTAGACCCCTTAAGTTTTTTTTTAGTTGTAAATATATTAAAGGATTTTAAAATTTAGATACAATTAAATAAATCTTATTTAAAATTGTCAGGTAATAAATTCTCCAATGTTTCACTTTTTATGATTTTCTTTATTAATAAGAACAATCAAGTAGTTGAGATCGAAGTATTGTGCTTTTTGAGAGACTAATTATTAACCTTCATAATTTTTAAAATTTTATTTAAATTTTAATAACACATAACTAAATGATGATAATTTACTTTAAATACGATAAAGCTTAATTATAAAATTTAAAACATAACAATACAAAAAATATTGCAATAATGTCTTGTAATTATAATAATAAAGAACAACAATAATACTTATAAAAAAATTATGCATCTAGATAATAATTGACAATGCATATTGATACAATAATAATAAGAAAGAAACTAATGAGCATTCGGTTTAAAATATAACCCAAGTGCTGGATTGTTAAGATTTTAAATAAGTATGAAAAATAAATATTGGGTGCTCCTTTGATATGTATTTTTAGAATCCCTGATAAAATGAAATCACATATTAATATTTACGTGAAGTAATATTAAGAAAACAAAAAACTAGCAAAATCTAATAAATCATTACTGAGGAAGGTAGAACTAAAACCATCAAAACATGTTAAGTTGCTAGAAGAAACAAGGGTAGTTATAAAAATGATTTGTAAAATAATTTCCAAGATAATCAAGCTGATTTTGGAAGTTTTTTACACAGCCTTCTTCACTTGTGGTCCAATAGTGTTTTAGTTTTCTTCCATTTAAGCATAAGTTTTTAACCTTTTAATAAGTAAATTTTAGGTCTTCATTTTTGAAAAGGAATTTAAAAATAAATGTTAAGGGTGTGATTACAAATCATCTTTAATTATTATTTGATAAGTCTGTAGGCATACAACACGTATCTAAAATAACAGCAAAAATATTATTTTGAAATTAAATGTGTACTTACAATCATTTACTTCATACATGATAAAAATGGAACTATTTAAGCAAAATTCAATTAACAGGCATGTTTTAGCTTCATAAGATTAACAGACTTATTTTAGTTTTCTTAGCTTAATTGTTGTATTTAAAAAATAAAAAAAAGGAAGTTTTTTTTCGAAAAACTTTACTCTATAAGTGGAGATAATTGGAAAATGTATAACTCAATATATATGATTGAAAAAGTAAAGTAGGTTATTAGTTCTCCCATTATTTTAATTCCATTTAAAATTTTTATTAAGTAGTAATTTATTTTATCACTATGATTAACAACCAATCTGTTTGGCTCTTTATTGAACAAAGATTTATAATAATTATTTTTTCGTCAATAATTTAAAATTATGCATGAAAATGTTTCTATATTTAACACATGAATTGACTCTAAACTCTAGTTAGTACAGTAAAAATTAAGTTTTACCCGAATGTTAAAAAAATTAATCAGTGAAAATTGTTAACTGCCCTCCTCTTAATAAGTAAGTTCTCTAAACAGCATGACCTCACACAACAGATTTTAATGCAAGATTAGGGAAAAAAAGAGAAGCTGAAATATTGCTTTTTAGACAAAAATAGGTATTGATTCAGATGTATTTTTTTTATGATGAATTTATTGAATGTGACAAAACTCGGGACTATAGGTCTAATAGTTTAGAAATTATAATGGTATTATGTACAATCAGAACAATGTTCGACTTTTACCTATTAACCAGATATAGCTATCTAGATAATTGTTTTGTATGTATTTTTTCACCAAAGTTATCTCAAGTAATTAAATTTGGAGGGGGGTGAAAATAAAGAAGTAAAAAAAAATAAATAATGTTTCTTCTAGCTAAATATCAGTTTTTAACTTAGCTAAATTTAAGCAAATGATTTTTTGTTAAAATTTACCTGAAATATTAAGGAGAATGGGAAATTTTTAATTATTGAGAAAAGCATATATCTACATTCTCACTTATCAATGAAGCTTATGTTTTTTACTCATCAATGAAGCTTATGTTTATGTTTTTACATGTTTAAATAAAATAGAGCAAAAATCAATAAAGCAAATAGCTAAGACATTTATCTGGGTGAACACAAACGCTAAAAAAAAAATCCTGGTGTTCATGATTGATTTTATCGAATTTCCCTGATTTTTTAACTGATTGCATACATTTTACTATGCATTTTATATATATTAAAAAAAATATTATAAAACTGATATTTTTTATTGCTATTTCCAATTGAAAATAAACTAAATGAAGTTGTAGATTTTTTTATTATTACAAGACCAATTAATTTGGAAAAAATATAGGACTTTTTGTTAAATTTATTCATTTAACCTGATTTTTTAAATTGGTAATTTTTTAAATTGGTAAAACTATGCAATTTTTCCTTGTTCTATAGCCCTTTGTATGTTTTTTTAATTCAACTTTTTACAACTTATTAAGATGTCACAAAATTGTGGAGCCTTATCCTTCATCAGGCTGTTTCCAGAATCTTTCACTTTTTTTAAGAGGAGAGTGTTTAAAAAAAATTACAACTGGGTAGCACCTTTTCTTTTGATGTTATGACGATTTTTGAGCTATCTTTACTGTACTAAATTTTCTTTTTAGAAAACCGAAACTAATCAACATCCATGAGGATACTGCAATTGTACGCATTGTCCATAATAGATTGAAGTCTTCTTCTCACTCGTTTCTGGTCGTCACCAGCACAATCTAAAACAAGTTTCTGAAACTTATAGTCAATGGCTCCAATAGATTCTGAAAAACAGGCATTGTAATAAAGCTCAACCACTTTTTTACTACTTGTTTTGTCCACCCTTATGGAGACTAACAAATCATCTACCATCTTATTTACTTTTGTCAAAGCTTTTTTCTGAACCTCAGTTCGTTGAGTTATAACATTTACCTCTACGGTAAGGATACGATTCATCAACCTGTGAGCAGTAGCTTCAATTTCCTCCCTTTCATCTGTTACAAAATTTAAAACTTTTTAATCAGTATAAAATTAAAAGTATTTTCAAATAAAAAATATAGTACAGTAATAAAAAATAGAACCTTTGTAACCTAATGACCAAATTTTCACGTACTAAGATGTAATTTTGAAGGTTTAAAAGAATAACACTAAATATGCTTAGTAATTTGTGCAAAAAGCATTTCAAGTTATAAATTATTCATTATTCGATACAAGAAAAGTTCTTGCATTGAATAAACTCGCTTTTTAATGGATTTGGTTACATGATCTTTAAAATGTGAAGAGGGGAAAGCCGCAACCTGGGAATTTTTTTAAATTTCATTTCAAATTTTTAAATTTAAATGACATTTAATTTTTTAATTTAATTAGAGAAAGTAACCAGCCAAATAGTTAGTTACCAAGCAATAAAATTAAAAAAATACTTCATGTTTTCAAAATTTGCATTTCATTTTTAATTGACTTTAAATTTATTAAACTTTGGCTTTTGTCATTTAAAATTACATAGCTTAAAACAACTTTAAATTTTGACTACATAAGAATTCAAATGTTTTTTTACTATTAATTGTAATTAAAAATAATAATATAAATAAATTTGAAAATTATTTCTTAGGTAAAAATAATTTTAAGGGATAAATATTTAGTTACATCAAAAAATTAATTCCAACAAACAAAAGCATTAATAGCTGCTAATTTTTACGTAAAGTTTTATTTTTAGAATGATAACAAAATCTAATCATTAATACTTTAAACTTTGTTTAATGAATTTGATTCAAAGTGATTTTGACCTCCACTACACATTAATAATTTAAATATAGATATAAAAATTCTAATAATGTTCCTTAAAAATATTAAGGTTTCATACAGCTATAAATCTTGCTTATTGTAAAATGAACTGTTATATCAATAGCAATTTAAAAATCTGAAACCAGAAAATGTAAAAAATGGCAGCTACTATAATATTTTCAAAAATTGACGTAAAGGTTATAAATTATTTCCTCATTTGAAGTAGCGCTCGAACTTTGAAGGGTACTTAGTCAGCATTTTTCTTGTAATATAAAACAATTTCTGTTATTCTGTTAACAACGTAGAAACATATATGAGAATAAACATTCACTTACACAATTTTCATTCTATTAAATATTTATCGTTAATGTCTTCTACAAATCATGATCCATGAAAGCTTTCTCAAAATTTTTTGTTTTACATCCCTACAATATTTATCTTTCCTTAGACAGTGTTTTCACTACAGCGCGAGAATCTCGCATATTTTTTTCTTTTCTCGCATTAAAAAATTATTACCGCGAAAAATTCACGCATTCTATAAATCAATTTCAAAATTCGCAAATTTCTCGCATTTTGGAAAAAGCTTAGAATTACGCCATTTAGAATAAAATCCGTTACACTTTTCTTCCTGGATCTTTCATTATTTTCAATATCTGCCCCACTATCTAGCTTCCCTATTTACCAGTATTGTTCATAACCTTTTCGAACAACAGAACACAACCACAGAACCCCTTTCAGAACACATTTCTCGGCAACCACGTGTTTACTGTAGGTTAGGTTTCTCCATGTAAGATGTTCAAATTTTTTATGTGCTAATGTAAGATGGACAAATAACTTGTAAAGGCAAAATCCTCTATGATGATGCCCCAAAAATATTTAATGCTTTAAAAAATAGAAGACGTTAAAAATGTATTATAATTAAAGAAATGATTTTCTTTCCAAGAGTTTTTGTGTTTTTTTAGCTTTTAGAAATCTCACTTAAGTTTTTGAAATCTCACCCTGTTTTTGAGAAAGGGTGAGAAATTCTCACCCATTTTTTTTCTATGATGAAAACACTGTTAGATGTTCCAAGTTTAGCTAACAACAATGCTTAATCTAAGTCTAGTTTTAAACAAAAACTCACTACATTCTTGTTTAAATTCCATATTTATCGTTGTAATATGAATAAAATATTTACAGACACTGCAAAGTTGAAAATCCGGACGCCTGTTTACCGGAAAAGTATTTTTTTCCAGATACTTAATTAACTATCAAAACTCTTTATTGTTTTCATTTTCAAAAAATAAATAAATAAATAAAATAAGAATGAGTGCACAATGTGTTAAAAAAATTTTTTTTTTAATTTATTTTTTTTGCTGATTCTTTTATAGCTAAACACTTATCTAGCCTTAATAGCCACATTAATAGTTATTAAAAGAGACAAGAAGAGTCAAAGGAAACAAACTTTGGGAGGAAACTGAATATTAATGAAGCTGAATAACAATAGTATTTACAAAGCAGCAGAGAATATTTGTTTATTTTAATTTAATTACCGGAAAAGTATTTTTTCCAGATACTTAATTAACCATCAAAACTCTTTATTGTTTTAATTTTCAATAAATAAATAAATAAATAAATAAAATAAAAATGAGTGCACAATGTGCTAAAAAAGATTTTTTTTTTAATTAATTTTTTTGCTGATTCTTTTATAGCTAAACACTTATCTAGCCTTAATAGCCACATTAATAGTTATTAAAAAAGACAAGAAGAGTCAAAGGAAACAAACTTTGGGAGGAAACTGAATATTAATGAAGCTGAATAACAATAGTATTTACAAAGCAGCAGAGAATATTTGTTTATTTTAATTTATAGACGTTTTCATTAAAAAATCTATTCTAATTCTGTTTAATATTGTTTTATCAAGGTTATTTTTAACTGATTATCTGTGCTGCAAATGTTTAACACTATAAATATTAAAAAAGAAAGAAAGGAAGAAAAAAAACTTATATTTATTAATGAGAGAGACAGAATGTTTTGATGCTTGTTTCCCTTGAAGACTTATTATCTCGAAAAATCTATTTTCCAGACTTTTCGAATACCCCATGATTCAGAATATGCAACCTTCCTCTGTATATAAATATATATAATTTTTTGTGTGCATGTTTTAAATTTATTCTACTTGTTTAAGTTAATTCTACTTTGCTTGTTTCAAATTTATTTCTAGATACTACAACTGTACAGTTTCACTTGGCACACTTCCCAATTTTGGTGGAATGAACAAGTACCAATGCAGGAAAGATTTTAATATTAGTACCTTGCAGAAAATTTGAAGGAAATCTAAGGCAAATTTCTATGAGGAACTATTTTTCTAAATAAAAATTTCCAAGTACAGCACTTAGGCAGTTTAGTTGACACAAACAGGTACTGATTTGAAAATATCCCCATAATAAATGGATACATTTTATTTCTATAATGCATTATTGTATATTTGAATATTAAAATTAAAGATTATCACAAATAATAGTTAAAAACATACTTTCTGTAAACCTTTTCAAACCAGGACTAACTTTAAGGCGACCTAAATTTCTTATCAATATTTCTCTTTCACTTTCAATAGATGCAGCTTTTTCTCTCAAAGTTTCAACCTGAAGTTCCATGTCGTCTAACAGTTCAACATACAAATTATGAGCAGACATCTTTGGATGTTAGAAGAAAAAAAATATAGATGTTTCTGTGGAGAGATTTTCAGAAAAAATATTAGAAATATGTATATATATGTATATATTAATACTATCTGTGGTGGTGTTGAAGAGGGAAAATTTTTGTATCAATATCTACGCCAAAACAACATAGAAGTTTTACGAAGAAACTAAATAATTAAAAAAATCACATAAGAGGACCAAATCAAAAGGTATAACAACTTGTAGCCATACAGGGGCAAATCTCTAATTTTTTTGTCATTGCAAGTTTATAATACCTTTGACATAATGGCAATAACAGTTGATACGACAGATAATGCTACAAAAATATCAAAAAGATTTCCATATTGTGATCTGTGTTGGAATAATTGCAAAGTCTTGGCAATTTCTGGACAGTGGCCTATAAGAAACCAAAGAAAACACCACAGTAGGGGCTTAAGGTGTGCAATTTTTAGGCCTCCTCTGTGCAAACCTCTACATTTTATTTTATTTTTAAATTGCAAGCTAAAAATCCATTTGGCACCTTGGCGATAGTAGTTGTCTTGACAGATCACCATACGGAAATATGCCTTATATAGGGCACAACATGATTCCTTTTTTATTGTTAACTAATAAACATCAGGGAATTATTTAAGGAAGAAAAAATAAAACTTATGAAACAATATTTACTTCGTACAGTGTAATAAATGAAAATGATCAGTTGAACATAACACAGGTAACATCAGTCGAACATATTGGTGTTGCTTCTTTCTGATGCTAAGTTTAGAAGATACCGAGAAAGTTATAATCAGGAAATAACAGTTTAGTTTCACTTCTGTTTTACATTGTTTTGTAGTGTTTTTTCCCAAATGAGAAAAAATCCATTTTACGCTTTAACCTAAATCTCACTCAAACAAAAATGAAGCGTTGCTTAAGCTGCCACCAACTAATAATTTAAAAGATGGATCTTAGTTGCGGATTTTGGCATCGTTGTCGCATGATTCACGCATGCGCATTTTACGCTTGGATGCATTCTCAATTGAAATTTACACAATGTCTCCGTCCCGCAGTGGACTGATCGTTATGACACGGTTCCCAGCAGATCACCGAAGTCAAGCATCACTGGCTGCGGTCAGTGTGCGGGTGGGTGACCACTTGGATCAGTCTGCGTAGGGACCGAGGGTGTGCGGTATTGGTCCTCGTTAAACTGTGCTACCGTAAAGTGCTCGACTTCGCGCGCAGGTCGTCGGGCTACCGAAGCGGGGGTGCCATCCCCTCCGCAGAGGATCAAAATTGTGATGGCATGTCTTCGGATCATCCTCCGGGATGTTTCCCAGACCGTCGCCAATAGCCCATTGTGCAGCTCTAGTGCGACGTAAATTAACAACAACTACACAATGTCTCCGATTTTTTTCATTTTAGTTACACAAGGTGTTAAATTTCATTCAACTCATTGATCTTAACAAAGGGGAGGAATGACTTTATAATGAATTAGTGTAACGAATCATACGATTCCTTCTTTTTTCTATTCAATACAATTTAAGAAAGTAAAATGATTTTTTCACGATATTTTATTTCATTTTAATAATATTTACTATGTCCGTTGATTTAAATATCTATTAATATCTTTCTTTTTATTCTTCCTTTTCTCCTATCGATATCAGTTTTGCCAAAATTATTTTGTTTTCTCGTAATTTTTTTCTTTTTAAGTATCTTTAAAATGAATATAAATCAGTTAAAAGTAGAGAAAATTTTAAAAATTAAGTTTTGAGTCACATTTGTAATTTTAACTCCCACAGCCAGAGAATTAGTAACACCGATATAATGAGAAAAAAATATACAAACAAATGAGCCATATAGAGAATATAGCATAAAAATACGCTATTTTTTTATTTTTATTTACTTCGATCTAAATATTTTTTAGTTTCCTTTATCATCCAATTGGTTGGTGTCGTACCCTCTATTGAATCACATCTCACAGTGTGCTTGAATAGTCTTTGCTATCTCCATGGCATTAAATGAATATAAATCTTCCTCTGTTGGGTAGTTTAAGAAATCCAATTAAATATATCTATTGGTTAAAATGTGTTAACAATGATGTAACTGTGCAAAATAGACGGACACATTAAAAAAAGATATCGCTCTACCTTAATACAAAAATTCTTCTTCACCTATTCAATTTTAAATTATGTGTTAAAGAATTGGGTGAATTTTGTTTCCTTTTTTATTCTAAAAACATAGTGATCTAGATAAAATCAAGCAGTCATACTTTTCTCATTTACACAATAAGAGCTCTTTCCCTGCACACTTCGCTCGTCAACCCCCGTCATAACCACACAATCATTTTCATTTTCCTATAAACAGCTTCCTAATTACAAATTATTGAATTAAAAGTTCCCTATACTTCTTATTGTATTAATACATATTTAGCATCTGATTGTTTTGAAATAAAGTTTAAACCAAAGCATTTTAACATTGCCACTGTATCGAAATTTTTCTTTTTATATTCTTTTCTCCTTTTTGATTATTATATATATATATATATATATATATATAAGTTCAAAANGACAAAGTGTTTATTATAGAAAAATATTTAAAATTAAATAAAATAGTAAAAAAAATTTGCCTTCCATCCCTCCGACAGAGGGGTATAAAATTTCTTTGGTAAAATTGGTAAAATAGTCTTGATAAAATCCAATGGGGAGAACTTTCATTCGTTATTTATACAATACTAGAGAACATTAGAATACACTATTGAAAGGGTGGTAAAACATTCTTTTAAATAATTAGAGTTTTTTTCCAATTTTTTTAAAAATAAAAGTAATTTTTTTTATTTACATTTGTTCCGCGAGGCGCTAAAATGTTTAAAAACTTTTATGTTCCAACCCTCAAAGCATCGTAGTAAGAGAAATAGCGATCACAAAGCCAATCGAATACGCCATCTGGGGAGAAGACCGGTTCCATGTCTTGACCCTCCCTCCTTTCCTCTCCTCCACTTCTTAGTTGTAAGTCCCTGGGGCAAACATTTTTGGCGGGGGCCCTTTCAAAAACTTTCAGTACTCCATCTCTAACAGTCATTTTAGCTATTTATGTTAGTGAATATATTTATAAAAACAAGTTATTTGTTCACATATAAATTGGATTACAAAACATTGTAAGTTTTAAACATGACAAAATGCAAAATTTCAGCGAAATCGATTAATCCTGAGAAATTAAATTTTAAAAAAGTCGTACTTATAAAACTCGATTTCACAGGAACTAATGCACTATTCAACCAATTTCGCTCAAATTTGTATTTTCCATGTGGAATTAGATACTTTAAAATGATTTAAAAAAAAAAAAAAAAAAACTATATGCCTTACGATTCAAAAGTTTTCAGAATATTATTGTCCCAAAGGGGACTGATCCTTAAGACACGGTTCCTAGCAGACCACCGAAGTCAAGCCTCACTGGCTGCGGTCAGTGTGCGGATGGGTGACCAATTGGGTCAGTCTGCGTAGGGACCGAGGGTGTGCGGTATTGGTCTTCGTTAAACTTTTCTACGATAAAGTGCTCGACTTCGGGTGCAGGTCACCGGGCTACCGAAGCGGGGGGGGGGGATCCCCTCTACAAAGGATCAAACCTCAAGGGATGTCTCCCAGACCGTCGCCAATAGCCTATTGTGCAGCACTAGTGAGACGTAAATGATCAACATCAGACTATTATTAAATAATAAATATTTACTAAAAGTTATTTCTTGCGTGGAATTATCTTTAGATAACATAATTTTATAATCGTGTGCAAAATTTTTTCAATTCCCTTAAAAGGGTCTCGATCTGTAGTGAAATACAAAAAAATAAAATTAACATTTGGGGGTCCAAACTTTGGATAGCTCACCCGACCCTACTATTGGGACCATATTCCCCAGATTACAGCTACTTCCTATATTACGGGGGTTAGAAAATCGAATCTGTTGAACAAAAGTTATGTTTATTCAGAGAAAGTATGTTTCTGCGTCTGATTGCGTAACTTAAAATAAAATATCGTGCACTAATTAATCTGCATATTTGATGTCACACCCTCGAATTATAAAGATGGAGTCCTAGAACGTGAAGATCCGATCATTAAATCAAAAGTTATTTAGTGTGGTACTTTTTTGGTTCACTGTACGTAAATGTTACCAATTTACGACATCTCACTGAGGAAATATGACTAGGGGTAAAATATTCATGCCGTCTACTCCTGTCCCCCATGTCCACAGTAGCCTCCTTTTCCTCTAAATATAATGCTAATCATAAAATACCAATTTTATAAACCTGTTGAATCCGGTTACTATATCGTTAGGAAGGTCTTTTCAAGACAAAACCATTATAAAAATGAAAATTATTTTTTAGTTTCAAATCTAAAAGTTTTTT